AGGTGACCAGGAGGGGATCTAGACAACTACGAAAGGGCCAACGTTGTTCCTTTTCTTTTTTTTTTTTTTAATTGGTAATGTTTTAAATGCTACAACTGCAGTACATCTAGCATGTAGGAGTCGATGATGCATCACATAAAGCATATGCTACTTTCTGATAGATGGGGAGTGAACAGCTAGTTTAGGAAAACAATCAGGAATTCTGAAGGGGTCATTGCATCAGAGGAAATTTCCAATGGTACGACATCAGAAGAACGAGGTTCAGAGCATTGCGGGGAAACTCTAAGTGACTGGTGGATTTTGAAAGGAACTGGAAAAGCTATTTACAGTGAAGAAAGACTATTTTCTTGTGAAAGAACAAATGAACTCTAAGAAATGTTTAATGGACTCATAGCACCATCGGAAAATGATGAGCCCCTGATGTGGGAAGCATATTTGTATACGCAGGAAGGCTTGGAGGCAGGATTCTCATTCGTGTATGTTCAGAATCGTTCCAGAATCTTACTACCCTCAATTTTCAACACAGCAGGATTTGGGGAAGCACTTGTTAATGTGTGTTTATTTTTCTCTTCTCCTTTTTTGGCTCAGCATTCTAGGGAGGACAGCGACGGGTTTGATGGAGTTCTGGGTGCTTTCCGAGCCCATTTTCCTAGACCCTTTTTGCATTAGTGGTTTGTTGTCCCGCCATTATGTTCCCAAACTGAATGCACCTCTTGGCACTACCTAAGAATAATTTTTTTAATCGACTTCATCTTTAGGATGTCTCTCTATTTTGAAAAGAATAATTTTGAGTGGGGGATAAATCCACTTTCGGACTAAAAGCAGACGTGACACAAATGACATTTTAGATTTGCCAACCAGCAACTCATTTCGTTTAACCTATAAAGGAAGCCTTGAACTGATCACTTCAATGGCTGGGGTTCCAATCCACCACCCACCTCAAAGAAGGAAGATGATGCCATCTGCTCGTGTAAAAATGTCCAGCCTCAGAAATCATATATCGAGTCACAGTGAGTCAGAATTGACTCGGCAGAAATGGTGTAGAAGAAGCACATCGAAAGTAACGTTTCTGAAACTGCGTATTGCAGGACATAAGTTTTCTACACAATATTAGCAGAGGATTTTCAGGAACTTACCTATGGTCAAATATGTTTGGGAAATACTACCTATGATATGCCTTTCTTGGAAATCCACAGCACCTATTTGCCCATTAAAGAATCCAAGAAGCCTGCAACATAGACCTACTTTTAACTTTGCCTTACCCAACATGCAGGCACTTGATTGTCCACCCAACAACCATTCCCCTTTCTTACTTGCCAAGAGAATCCTGATCTTAGTTATGCAACAAGGTCTCGGCTGGAAACAGTGGGTCAGTGACAATCTCTTTTGCCAAAATTTTGGCCGTGTGGGCAGGTGACTCAGATTAAGTCAGTAAGATACTGAGAGAAGTCCATGGAGGCTTCTGAGTAAAACAGTCTTTCCAGGACAGAACTGCATGTGTGAGGATAAACTGCTATTGAATCAAGCCCTTTCATTTCTTCTTGGGACAGTGACATATGGGGCTGTGGCCATCAGCTTGTGGATTTGAGAAGAGACCTCACAATCTGACCATGGTACACTGAAGCAGTAGAACACACCTGATCCCTAAGACATTGCTGAATCCTCCAATCATCCCAACTAATGTCCTCTGACTTGACAAGTATATTTTTAATGGAAAGCAAAAGCAGTCTAACTGATATGCGTAGAACTGTTCAAACTTGTTTGACAGTTGAGACTCCTTGTATGGGGGCGTGATTTACATGGTATTCCAGAGAACACCATTTGGGAACACTGATGGAAGACATCTGGAGTTTTGAAATAGGAATATTGTATCCTCTCCCAAGCCATCTGTACATTCAGTGTAGTCAGAGGGATATCTTGGACCTGATAGGCAATAAGAGTGATTTCGATGGGGGACATTGACTCCAACACAGAGCCAGGGCCCACAGGGTTAGCAAAAACAAGAGTCCAACGAAAACAAGTCAGCTAGTCTTTGAATGCCTTTTCTCCAGGAAGGGAACCCTGGTGGCATAGTGGTTATATGTTGGGCTGCGAGCCACCAGGTCAGCTGTTCAAAACCATCATCTCTCCTGGGGAGAAGGATGGGACTTTCTACTCCGTAGACAGTTGCAGTCTCAGAAATCCAATGGAGGTGGTCCTACCAAGTCCTATAAGGTCATTCTGAGTCGGCATTGACTTGATGTACGTCAGTGTTTCTCCGGGAGGAGCTGCAGCTCGTTTGACAGACATGTTTTCAACTGAGACTATCTGTGGGGCAGGGAAGTTTCATATAGCCACACTCTGATTGCATTGGGGGATCTTGTTGCATAGTTCCGCATACATATGGAAACTAAGGCAGGTCAGGAGGTGAAGGTCCCAAAGGTGCATGCCTAGATTCTTTGGGCCTGGAGTCATCTCTGGGCCTTCTGGAAGAATAAAGCTAGTCACCTATGAACAGTTCCTGCTAAGCTAGCAGGTCTGCTTCAAGCAGAGGAGAAGAACTGTGTACTGGTGTCCGGTCCCGTAGGCTTCCTGGGGACAACATTATGGCATCTGTTTTAGAATTAACAGATGTCTGTACAGTACTCAATCAACTGCCATGGAGCTTATTCTGATGCAGAGTGTCCCTATATAGCGCTTCCAAGGGTTTAAATCTTTATGTGAATAGACAGCCTCATCTTTCTCTTTACTATCCGGTGGCTTCTGGATTTGAACCACTAATGTTGTGATCTACAGTCCAGCCCCTAGCCCAAAAGATCACAATAGGTTGGACTCGAGGGCAGTGAGTTTGGTTCCTATACTTTATTCTGCGCTCATGTAGACATGTGGACAGGGATTAATTTTCCATTTGTTAAATATTGCTTAAAAGTATATCATTATATTATCCAAATTTCTTAGTACTTTCCTTTTATCTCTTAATAATACATCACATGCATTCATACAGTATAGTAGAGGTAGATATATTCCTTTTAATAGTTGTATCAAATTACATTACATTCCTATAATCCATTTGCCTGTTTATGGATAATTATTTTATATATAGCTACTTTGTATGTATGTGTACAAAGAAGCTTCAAAAAAGTCCCTTATCATTTCATTCCATTTTCATGAACTTTTCAAAGTCCTTTCATACATATCACCCTTCGCTTTATCTATCATCTATCTATTCTATCTCTAGTACTGATTCTTTTTTCTGGTACACCAGCAGTCAGAAGTGGAATGCTGTCTCAGAAGATATGCTTACTAGTCATTTTTAAGAGGTTTGTGGAAGATGTTTCTCACATTGCTACCAACATTGGACTGTGTTTCTGATGTCTCTGAACACATATCTCTGAAATGTGTTTCCAGTATTATTGGGTAACATGGTAAAGAATTGTTGCTTTAATTTGTGTGGTTTTCTTAGTATCAGGAATTCTTAGCATAATCTCTTATGTTTATTGTTCCATGGAACTGATTTCTTTGAAATTTATTTGGAGTATCTGAGTGTGCTAAAGGTTCAAAAGCATCATAGCTATGAACTATCTGAAAAGCAAATTTTAGGGAAAGGAACATTTAGCACATCAAATACTCAGTGAGTCTCTGCATGCGAATAGGGTCATAGAATTATTTTCCAAAATAAGTCTATATAATTTAGCTAAAATTGATAGAAGTTTTATAATTTTCATATTTTGAAGTGGATACAATTTATGTGATAACACTATTTAATCTTAAGCAAAAAACCATACAAAGTTTAAAAAAAAGAACTGCATCTTTTCAACTGCTATATTTCCTATCAGCATTCTAGAGTGGCCGTTAGAGAATTAATCTAATGATAACAACCCTCATTTCTACAGTGTTTTATAGTTTATAAAGTTTTAATTAAGTTTTCTAAATAACAACATTCTGAGATTGGAAAAACAGATTGCCTTATTCCAGTTTTACAGAAAAAGCTACTGAAGCTCAGGAGGGGCATGTGTGTGTGTGTGTGTGTGTGTGTGTGTGTGGTGTGTGTCCTTAAACATGAGTGAAATATATGTAAATCAGTCACGGCATCACCTTCCATAGGGTGGTAGCACAATGCCAGGAGTCTGGGTCATTGTCAAAGCCACTCGTCGCTGCTCACAGTTCAATGTGAGGGTTCCACTTTCTAGTCTCTCCCCCCGTCCATCCTCCCTCCTTCTTGCTCTTCTCCACTCTTCCACAGGGCTTGATATTTTTGTTTTACATGTAAAATCACATTAAACATCCCGTTGCATACATGTTCTCAATACCTCTGGTTATACTATTGTGTTCCAAGTATTGTGAGCTTTTTAAGGGTTATGATCAAATCACTACTGGTCAAGCAAGGCCAAGCTTTTCATATTTTCCCTCCATTTTGACAAGAACAAAAAGCAAGCCCAAGGGAGAGGGGTTGATGTTATTCTGCTCCATATGCTCAATGCCATTTTAGCTTTTTCTCATTCCTTCCCTAGCTCGTGTATCTGTGTCCTTTGCTTCTGGCTGGATAACTCTCTTTCCCTTGAGCTTGTAGCTGACTTCATAGACATCCCATCACCGACTATAGCCTGCTTGCATTCACCACGATACAAATAATCAGCCATGACCTTGGAAAAGATGATGTTATTCCTCCTTGATCTCAAATTAACTTATTAGCAGAATCACAAACACACACACAACCACACACAACCACACACAAACACACATTCTCTTTCCTCCAAGGCATCTAGATGATGTGGGTATCTATGTTAAATCCCAGCCTAGAATATAGATGTAAAACTCACATGCTTCAAGTTGTATGTTTAATATGCTTTGTATGACATTTTACAATGGGGTTAAACTTGAGGACCAATATGTGAAATGTAAATCATCTTTTTACTCAGACATCAGGGACTTGCAATAGGCCCGGGAATTGCTCTAATGACGTCTCTCCCTTTCGTTTCTAAACTAGGTATTATAAATGTTATTGTGGCTTTCCATTTTAGATACCTAGTGGAAGAAATCAAGAAGAGAGACGGATTCAAGTTACTGATGGAAGTAAGTGACTGGGGAAATGTGCCTACGAATTTGTCAGTCAACAGTGATGAAGGTGGCAATTTTCTAGTCTGTTATATTTCATTGTAATTTTTGTGTTTCAGACTTAGAAACAAGTCATTAGCTTAATGCAGAGAGTCCATTATGCTAATTTACTCTATTAGTGAATATTTTCATTTGTTGGACTCACAGCGAACATACTTGCCTTTAAGTATTGAGAATTAAAATGTTCAATAATAATTACCAAGGATAATGCTGAATAAATGATGACCCTCTCTTGATATATAAATTGCATAATGATTGTACTGCAAATATTCAACTGTGCTACAGTGGTGCCCGCATGAGAAAAATCAATTAAGTGAATGAATAACAGTAAAGTTTTCTCTTTTTATAATAAAACCATGAGAGCATATTAGCATTGGAGAAATGGGTAAAGAAGTCATTTTATTGTTGATGTTATTGGATTCTTTGCTATGTGGAAGAAATAAGGTGCTCAGAAAGGGACAGAATAATGTGGGATTTTCCCCCCTCAAACATATGGCCACCATAGAAAGAATATTGTGTAATCCCGAGTTTTACAATGAGTTTCTTTAGTTCTTACTATCACACATCTCTTAGAGCCACTTCAACCCCAAGGTGAAAATCATGCATAGATTACAGCCTTTGAACCTGTCTTACAATCTATGTAATTCTGTGTATTCACTGATTCAGCAAGATTTGCTGAGTGATGACCACCTGCCAGGCAGTTCTTGTCAAGCGGAGTTAGGAAACGGGGAAGGTCTCCACTCGCCTGGTGTGTTTATGTTTAAACGCACATGGACCGGCAAGACACAAGGAGGTGGATATGTGGGGACCTCAGATCATCAGAAGTCTAGTGAAGACAAAAGCAAAGACCCAGCATACTCCTGAGAGATCATCTAGTACACTGACGAGTAACCAGGATTTTTCCAAATACGGCCCGTTGGGTCATGGAAGTTACCTGCTGCCTTGGAGTCTGTTTTGGCTTAATGGCAATTCCTTGTGCGTCATGGTAGAAGTGTGTTTCATAGGGGTTTTGGTGGCTAAACACCCCACCTTTCTCTTGAGGTGCTTCTGGAAGTTGTGGTTCTGTTTGGCTGTGATCTGCAGGAGCCGCAGTCTGAAACCACTAGCCTCTCTGTGGGAGAAAGCGGGGACTTTCTACTCTCATAAACAAGGCCAGTCTTTGGAAACTCACAGGGTCAGTTCTACCCTCTCCTGTAGGGTCACGTTGGGTTGGCATGGATTGTTGGCAGCGAGATTGAGGCTTATTTGGAGTTTTTGGGTAAACTTGAACCACCAGCTTCTTGATTCGCAGCCGAGCACATTAGCTCTTTGTGCCACTCATGAAATGGCTGGTGGCAATGAACGGGGTGAGAGGCAAGGGAATGGGAGGAGACGTGGGGGTGACTTCTTTCGCTTGTGTGTTCTAGGTAGCGCTTTTTGAGGTTCTCAGTGAGCTGAAATCTGGAAATTGATCCAACTCTCGAGCCTTGCAGATGCTAGAGGGGAAGGCATTCTAGGCAGCCCCAGGCCACAGCTCCAAACGCTTAAGGCTGAAAGGCGTAGTTTGAGTTTTAGGAACCTAAAGAAGGTGAATTAAACCAGGCTTGGAGAGGTGAGCAGGAAACAGATCATATGAAGTCAGCAGAAGGCCTGTGCTTTTATTCCAAGGACAGTCCCTGAAGAAGTTGTAAGCAGCCTTCCATATTGAAGATCATGCTGAGTGCCATGGGAAGAGAGGAAGGCGGTGGTGGCGGCGGCGGTGTGTGGGACAGGGCTGTGAAGTGGAGAACAGGGAAGAATAAGCAGGACAGATTGGGAGACTGCCGCCGTAGTTGGGGGGGCGGTGTGATGGCGGTCCTCAGGCACGTTTGCAGAGCTCTGTTCAGACACCCTGACTGTGGCTTCCCCCAGCAAACCCCAGGGTTCTAAGATTCCAAAGTGCCTACATAGAAGTGGCAGAAAAAACCTGCAAAGAGAGCTGAAGAATCCCCTTTTTAATGATTGCCTCGCCACGACCCAGAGAAGATGACGGATTTAGATTGTGTGTATTCTACAAGAAGCTGACATGGTTTCTTCAACAGATGAAGAAAAATCCAGAAGGGAGTGGGGAGGATTCCTGTGGGTTTTAAGAGACCGAAGAGGAATGACAACTAACTGCCACCTGTGGACCTTGCTGGGGCCCTCATTTGAACAAGCCACCTGTACCACATAATTCTGAAATAGTTGGATATGTCCAATATGGTTCGTCAATAGTAAAATGTTACTACACTCGATGATGGCATTACAGCTATGCAAGGAAATGTCTCGGCAGTTGTAGACATGCAACCCAAGTATTCAGAGATGCTAACACCAGTTACGTGATTGCCTTGAGTTTCAGTTGTCTTCTCCATTTTCTCTGGCTATGGAAGGTGTAGAACATTTTGTAAATCTTGGAATGGCCAGTATTCTGATACAGATGAGAGAAACTCTACTTTATGAGCTGATTAAAAGTTATGCCTATCTTTTTATATGTACAAAGATATAAAAGCAGTGAAAGAGAAAGAAGTGAAAGAGAAGCCTCTTGCCATTTTCTCTGTTACTCTGGTTGCCGGCTGCGACTGAGTTCGCTCAGACTCCATAACAAAACATGGCCCAGTCCTGCTCCGCCTTCACAGTCATTGGTATGTTTGTGCTCATTGCTATAGCTACTGCATTTTTCAAGCAGTCTGAACTAAGGGATTCATCTTCCAGCACCATATCAGATAATATTCCCTTATGATCCATAGAATTTTCCTTGACTAATTTTCATAAGTAGAGAGCCCAGTCTTTCTTTCTAAACTGTGTTGTCTAGATTCTCTCCTAAAACTTGTCCACCATCGGTGAGCCTCCCAGGACATGAAGTATTAAAAAGCAAGGAAGTTACTTTAAGGACTAAAAGTATTAGGGGTTTTAAGGCAGGCGCAACCCATGATATTTTCAATTGCCTGATTTCTGTATGTGAAAGTTGGACACTGAATAAGAAGACCGATGAAGAACAGATGCATTTGAATTATGGTGCTAGCAAAGACTGTTGAAAGTCCCGTGAACTGCCAACAGGAAATACCATCTTGGAAGAAGTATAGTCAAAGTGCTTCCTAGAGACAATGATTCCAAGACTAGCTCACTTACTTTGGACAGATTGTCAGGAGAGACCAGTCCCTCGAGAAGGACAGCAAACTTGGTAGGCAGAGGGGCGGTGAAAAGGAGAAAGGCCCTTGGCATTGGCAAGACGCCGTGGCTGCAACAATGGGCTCAAACATAAGAACAATTCTGAGGCTGGTGCAGGACTGGCAGCATTTTGTTCTGTTGCACATAAGGCCACTATGAGAACTAGCCAACTTGATGGCACCCAAGCTACCATGGTGTGACAAGTCATTATTTTTAGAGACTGTCAGTCACATACTGGTAATGGAAGTTAGGCAGAACCGAAAGCCAAGCTCACTGCCATCAAGCGGACTCCAACTCAGAACAACCCTGCAGAGCAGAGAACTGTCTCTGGGTTCTGAGTCAGTGAATCAGTAAAGAGGAGAAAGCCTCTTCGTTTTCCTGTGGACTGCCTGGTGATTTTCAACTGCTGAGTTTGCAATTAGCAGTCTGCACGACACCACCAAGGGTCCTGGATGAAAGTTAATCATTAGTCAGTGTATTAGTCTGGGTACTTTAGAGAAACAAATCCACAGAAACTCATGTATAAGAGAGAGTTTTATATAAAGGGTAAGTGCACA